TGGTTCTGTTGTGGGAATAAAAAACACCTTGATTTCTGAAGTTCTTTTACCCCAAGATACTCAGTAAGTACATAATCAGGTCCAGTGTCTAGTCCTAGTAAAGTAAGCTATTTCAGAAAATAAAATTCCTGCTAAAATATTAAGCATGGAAGTATTCACAATGATTTAAGGTAAAAGTTTTCTGAAGTTGTCTGTATTTTTCACATAGGCATTCAAAAGACAAAAATGAAAGTGCTATATTTGCTCATTTATTTTCATTCAACAAATACTGAGAACCTATTTTGTGCTAGGCTGAAAGTACAGGAGAGAACCAATGAGACAGGCTGGTCTAGTATAAAAGTTGTATACTACTGAGAGGACTAAAAATAAATGAGTGAGTGAGTGAGTGAGTGAGTGAGTGAATGAATGAATACCTTGGTAATTTCTGACTATATCTTTCATGCCCTTGCCCTGAAGTCAGCCATTTATCTGAGGAACCTTGGTTCCTACAGCTAATGGCGTGTCCCTCCTCAGTTAACAGGGCCCTGTTGTTTATGGCTCACACAGACACACAGACACATAGATACACACACAGATATACACACACATGCAATAAATTCACACCAAACACCAATTCCACAAGCTTTGTTGTTCCCTATCTTTCCGTATTTCTAGCCCTCCTCCTAGACAAGGAGAAACCTGATGTCCACCGTCCTTGCTGTGCTCACCTGTTCACTGGGCTCCACCTTGATAACCAAACTCTTATTGCTGTCCTCCCCCCTCCGCCCACCTTACGCTCTCTGTTCACCTCACCCACTGTGTGCTGACCGGGCGGTAGCTCTGCTCACTCTGAGCGCTGTGCCCACCTGCATGGAACCATCCTGCGTCGACCCCTCCTCCCCCGGTATGGGCACCAATGCCCTCAGCCAGGCTGCCGGCCACATGGGCTCCTCTTCCGGCACCCCAGCTCTGACTCCTCAGTTCACTGAGCCAGCGTGGACCAGCCTCCTCGCTCTCCCCACGCCCACCCGCCACCTCTCTGTGGCAGCCTCCGCCCTGGGCTTTGAGCCTGCGGTCTTAGCCATGTTGTCACAGAGGAAACGCTGGGACAGAACCTGGCCAGCAAGCGCGCTGAGGGAGTAGGGCCAGGTGCGGCAGAGCAGCTCTTCCTGCCACAGTGTGATCTTTAACTCTTCTCCCTTCCCACCTATTAAAGACAGTCATCTTCTATTCACTGAACTAAAAATTAGCAGAAGTGGGCACCAGTGAGTGGTGCAATAAGTTAAAGCAAATTCTATTGTACTGCAAACATTTTTTTCTCCACTAAAACTAAGGACTTTACATTGTTTATTTTTCAGAAAATGTCTCTGGGGTCAGGCTGACCTGCAAAAAAACCAAGTACTGACTCAGCAGGCCATTTGTCAGAGTTTTTGTTTAATTTGTTTTGGTTTTATCTAATACCCCCCTCTTTTAAGTTTTTTTCTTTTTTTTTCTTTTTATTGAGTGTATTGGTACAATCTAGGTATACAATACAATTACATTCATAACCAAGTACTCTCAGCAGGCCATTTGTCAGAGTTTTTGTTTAATTTGTTTTGGTTTTATCTAATACCCCCCTCTTTTAAGTTTTTTTCTTTTTTTTTCTTTTTATTGAGTGTATTGGTACAATCTAGGTATACAATACAAAATTA